GAGCTTTGGTCCTACTAAGCCCGTGCAGGCTTGGCAGCAAGGCCCTATCCTTCATCCACAGATTCCTAGCACCTAGGACAGAAGAGACTCAATGCAGAAAGAGTAGACAGACAGACTCAGCAAGTACCGTGGGGTAAGTGCACATCCACAGGGTAAGGGGATAGGCTGAGGGTTCAACGAGATATCACCAACTCCAGCTTGGTCACAATCTTGGTCAGCAGCTCCGGTCAACACCTTGGTCAACGCCGAGTCAACGCGGACAAGCCCCGGTCAACGCTTGGTCAACGCCCTGGTCAACCCTCTGGTCAACCCTTGGTCAACCCTCTGGTCAACGCCCGGTCAACCCTTCACCTCGTCTATGGCTGCTGGCACCTTCACCTTCGTCACCCTCGCCGTCTACTTCCCCGTCCTTTTCTTTCTCTTCACTTCCGCTGTAATTTTTTTTTATTTTTTTTTGTGCTCGCCCCCGGCTATGTCTGTCTTCTTCTCCAACCTCCTCCTTCCGCACTTCTTCTTCTCTCTCCTTAGTCCCTCCTTCTCTGTCCTCCCTTTCTCTCTCCTCCGGCACTCTATGTCAATGCTCCGCGGCTATGGCCGCCGTCTTCCTCCTCCACCGGACTCCACCGCTCGGCTCACAGGTAAGCGACAATCAATCTTGGATCGCTCATCTCTCTCTCTCTCTCTCTCTCTCTCTCTCTCTCTCTCTCTCTTCCGCCGTAGCGGTATCTTCAGCGCAGCAGGTAAGTAACCAATCTTGTATCACTCATCTCTCTTTCTCTCTCTCTCTCTCGTGGTCTTCTTGTTGCAGGTGCGCGGCGTCTTCTTCCACCTCGAGGTCCGCTATGGCGGACTGCCTCCTCCGGCGGCACTTCAGCTATGGCCGATCGGCCCTGCACACATCGTGCGCATGGAACAGCGGGTACCTGCTCCGATACCAGTGCAATCAGACTCGGATTATTCACACTTGTCTTGCATGCAAACATCGATACAGCAAACTGGCGACATGCGCCCACACAGTACTCAAAGATATCATAACCGGATAAGAGTTCTCTTCAACTGGCTATGGCGACTGGGCGCCCACACAACTCACTGTTCACACTCTGCATCACCCTGGATGTCCCACACGCAACACTCAGTGCTCATACGCCACACACACACACACTGTGCTACGGCTATGGCAGCGCTAGCTGCCACTACCCTATCGCTATACTACACTTCAGTGCCCACTTCGACTTCGGGCGCACTGCAGACCTCCTCGCACAAGCTGCTGAGGCAGCGCTTCTGCATGGCATCCGCAGGAATGAAATGAATGGCTGGACGCAGCCTCTTGATTTATACCTCTGCGCTGCGTTGGTCTGCACTGTATCCCTCGGCCCACGATGTGCACACAGTCCCAGACGGTACTTGCTGGACAGGACCGGACTGACTAACTGGGACTGTTGACTCAGCAGGGTGGCCTACCGCCACTTGACCACTTGCCTCTGTTTAGTGTAGGCCACTTGACCACTTGCCTCTGTTTAGTGTAGGCCACTTGACCACTTGCCTCTGTTCAACGTAGGCCCACTCCGAAAGGCCACTTCTAGAAACCTCTGACTTGGCCTTTCGGTGCTGTAGCAGCTACGACTTTGCCCCTTCAGGTAAGCAGTAGCTACGACCTTGACTTTTCAGGCATCCTACAACTACGACTTCGGAACTGTCTWGACTCCTACCCTACGAGTCCACAGTTCGATTCCCTTCTAAGCTGTGACCTACGACAATCTATCTACCACTGGTGTTTCCACAGGTCGCAAGTTCAAATCTACGGGTTGTCATCAATACTGTACACAGGTAAGATGGGGAACTAGGGATCGAGCCCTGGGATCTGCATTCGCTACTGCGAACTGGTGAATACCGTTTCACAGGAATGTCAGCAAGGCATCCATTCCAGTGGCAGAACTCAGAAATCAGCAGTGTTCTCAGTCTGTGTTTTGGCGGGTGATTACATCGATGTGTGCAGATGCAGAACCCTGCCATCCATGGCCATGCGGTGGGGCAGTGGACAGCCATTTTCATCCAGCCCAACTTGTCCTGAAAAACGGTCAGCCTACGAATGTGGTCTTAAGGACGGCTGTAAGCTCACCTATAGTTAACCACACTTTGCACCTACTGGCAGAGGCGAAGGAGCGTAAATCGGAGGACTTGGGCCGTGAAACCAAGCACGACTTTGAATGGGCAACGGTAGAGGAAAATAAGCATTCCATAAAAGAACATTCATAGACGCTCGAAAAGCAGACGCTTTGCGGCTGCACTTCTTTTTTTCTTTGTGTCGCGTCTGCTCTTCGCATCCGTTTGGCATGACACTCTTATGTAGATAAAATAGTGTCTGATACTCTAAATGCATGTGTTTGATCTTCAGATCAGTCCCTTCCCAAAAGGTCATGTTACAGCTCTGCACGTTGTTGGCAGAGGAGAAAACTCAAACAACCGTTGTGATCGGAAAATCTACGGCTTTGAGAATTCCTGGAAAGCATAGGGTGGATGAATGGCTTCACAAAGGGATGGAAAGGTGTTGACGAAAAGTCGTTTCAGTCCATGTGCAAATCCAGTTGAGTGCTGGAAATTGAGTATGCACTGTGCCAGAAATTGAGTATAGTTTTTTTCGCTTTGCCTATCTTCTGAGTTCTAATGCGATCTGTACCCCGGTGCAGAATAGAGCAATGACCTCCTCTGTGGCACACTGAGCCACACGGGCCCCAGTTAGGGCCCGGTTCCAGACAGGCAGGGTAGGCCTAAGGGACGACGGTTCAGATGAGGCCAGATGGGCCTGGACCACGGCGGTTCAGGCAGGCCCAGGCCAAACGGCCACAAGGCCGGTACCGGTCCAGCCTAGGAATCACCGACAGCGGTTCAGAGGCTGCCACAGTTTAGGCGCCAACCAGTTTCAAAACTGGACCGTTGATCTGGATCAACGGTCCAGGCCGGTAGGTACCAGTGAGTAGGAGGCCGGCCCAGCACTACAAAAGGCTGGATACCAGCCTCAGTAAAGAGGTGAGTAAGGCTAGAGGATAGTCTTCAGGATTAGCGCAGGAGCTTCAGCGCTAGCTCGTTTAGCGCAGCGCTGCAGCACAGCACGGAGCAGCGAGAGTGAAGAGCCAGCGGCGAGCGGATTAGTGCAGCACTTGCGCGCAGCGCCAGTTACCGGCCCAGCCCCTTGCAGCGCCTTAGCGACGGACCAGGTATCAGGGAGGAAGGCTTCGCCTTCTCTCCCTCTTCTTCTCCATCGCTCCTCTCTCCTCTCTCTCTCTCTCTCCTCCTACCTTCTCAGTCTAAGTCTACTTCTACTTCTCCTACAGAACTACTGCAGTATGGGAGATGGTTACGAATTCTGATGACATCTGAGACAGTGACATTGGGACTACGAGTTGAGGACTATTTGGGGATCTGATTTCATCTTCCTTCCGGAGATGTACTTGACATTGTGAGATCGATATCTGGGATATTGTGAGACTTGGCATTCGCGACATTTCGGGTTTCCGTCACTTCTGACAATTCAAGATACTATCCTTGGAAACATTGAGTTGACATCACCTCCCCTCTCCTCCTCCTTCGTCTCTCTCCTCTCTCCCTTCTTCCGTGTATGATCTCAGCCCCTGGCCCTTCGTCTATCTTCGAGGCCAGGGCATTCACACCCTGATGAATGTGTGAGAGTGTTTGATTGCAGTCCGAGTCAGGTCCGAGTCAGTCCAAAGGTATCTCAAGTCTTCCGCTTGCATTTGTATCAACTCTGTATTATCTGGTCGGTTCTGGGAATCTGCGCGATACTTATGACTGTGTTTCACGAGTATGCAACATCCTCCCTTTTTGCATGTGGTTATGCCATGGATGCCTTTTTTACTCAGTGTCTATTACTGTCTAATCTAAATCTGTTGCATACCTAATACAAGCTTGGGATTTAACGGGAGGTCAGGCAGAGGAACCAGTGAAGCATCAGGAACCCTACCTCCATTGAGGGCATGCAGAGCAATGATTGCAATGATCAGGAGCGCTGCGAGACAGGGAGCTATACAGATCGCGGACTTGAGAATATCTTGACACAGCACAAACCGAATGCCTTGACCGCTCTTTAGGTCCTTCTTTACCCCCTTGCCTTCTGGTTAAAAGTTCCTAGTTTTTTGAGGGGTGTTCAGGTTGGTGTCTGCTCTGATCATTGTTGCAGAGTGCAATACATTTGATGCAATGCTAATAGTTTTACAGGACGATGAAAAGAAGCATTGCTGTGTGTGTTACGGGATGGATGGACATGATTGCTCAGGGAACTGTGGAGAGTGAGCATTTCTTATCTTTGGCCAGCTAAGACTTCCCAGGGCATGTGTGCTCGGCATGCACGCACTGTTCTTTACTGAATTCTGTCCAATGTTTGCAATGGCGCTCGTGACCCGAAAAGACTGGGAGCATGGTGGACCCTGTCCCCAAGGAAGAGAAACCGGAGAGTCATTAGGACCTGTGCGCCGTGTGCGGGCAAAAATGTATGGGATGGCCGTCCTGAATATGCAGAATTGTTGTGATGGTCACACTCACTACGTATGGGGGTTGGAAGGCCCACAAGAGACTCTGGAGGTTGCGAACGGTTGCTGTCAACAAAAATGTTGGAACTTACTGGATTGTGTGAACTTTTCTCGAGCTGTCCGCAGCTCGCACAGTGCCAAAAGGGGGGAGGGAAATAGGGGCTGCACATTCTCTCCAGCTCTTTCTCTACCCCCTCCCCCCCCTCCCTCCCCCCCCTCTCCCTCCCCGCCCACCCCTCTTGCCTTTATCCCCCTCGGTACTCATCTGTTGATATGCAGGAAAACTGGCATGAACACTGGTTCACGTTTTTGGCAGGTATAACTGGCTGCTTAGCCTGTTTTGCGATCATATTCAATTTTCGGAGTTTCTCTGAGCTTTCATTGCTGATGCGTTTATGTAATTCTGGCTGGGATCTTTTGTGATTATATGAAACTTTTGGACGTGTGTGTTGTCAGAAAGAACGATTCTCTAAGCTTCTGCAGAGGGCCGCAGTTCAGTTTGACTGCTCCAACATAGATCACCAGGTGCTGTGTCCCTCCCTGCCTCAAGTGTATCTCTTTAAATGTCTGTAGATTCTGTACTTCATCATAAGTCTCCATTTTTTCCTATAATAAATCAATGAGTGAGTAACTCTGTGTAAGAAAATGGATGTCAAGTTTCAGCCTTCTCATTCTGCGAACACTTCTAAACGCCGTAACAGAGTTACTCACTCATTGATCGAGAGAAAATTCTGCGAACACTTCTAAACGCCGTAACAGAGTTACTCACTCATTCTTCGTCAGAGAGAGAGAGAGAGAGGGGGGGGAGAGAGAGAGAGAGAGAGAGAGAGAGAGAGAGAGAGAGAGAGAGAGAGAGAGATTAGCCACACTTCCCAGGAGTTCGCATCCTCAACCTTGCGGCTCCCCCTCCTCCTTGATCTCCCCCAGTATTCTCCCCATCTTCTTGCTATCTGAAATTTATTTTTCCTGTTCTTTTCCTGTCGTTTTCAGAGTTCCGTGAACGTCTATTGTCATACAACCTCCACAAATGCCTCACCCGTCTTGTTTTTGTGTCTGAGCAAAGCGGCAACAGGTAGCCAGTTCCTTTCCTGTGAATGTTGGCCACATTTGTTTTTTGTGCGTTTTGTTCTCATGCATAGATTCATGTAGCAGAATCGATCACACACAGGGTAAAGGGGGCGCTAAAAGAACTAATTGAGAATCCATAAAAAAGGGTGAAGTTAGGACAGAAAAGAAAGTACAGGGAACAACATTTTCAGCGTGGTCTGCTATTTTCGTCGTTTCTCTCACAAGTGGGCTCTTTCAGTTGACGCATGACAAGACAAAAGGAAAACAAGGGAAAGTAAGGAGTGTGGAATGAAGTGAAAGCAAAGGAGAGGATAAGAAAGGGCTCAAGAATCAGTCTGTCGTTGATGACAGAGAGGACATACATTGTGAAGGATGAGGTGGATGAACACATGGAAGACTACCTGAGCATTCTCAGGACAACAAATTGCCGCAACAGCAGTGCGCAAGCGGGCAGCCATTATGAAACACACGGATGCATCTAGCTTGCCCTGAACGTCATCAACATGGCGGGCCTTCTATGCGCGCTGCACAGTAAAGGGGTAGTTAAAAGAAGAATGATAACGAAGAATGGTTTCAGTGTGCTCTTCATGTTTGTCATCTGTATTTTTTATTTTTTATCGTATGTTTTGCTAAGTGCGCTCTTTTACTTCATAGAATGTGACAACATAAAAAAATATTAAAAATATAAAAAATGCGCTCTTTTGCAAGGCTGGGCCGGCAACCGGCCTGTTGACCTCCTCCGGTTCACCCGGTTCCGGACCAGCCCGGGGGGATAAACCGGGAAACCGTTTTTTCAAAGAAATGCCCGATTTTTTTCCTTTGTTTTTTTTTTCCCCTGGCGGATTCAGATTGCACTCGTCAAGATCTGTTGAAATCCGCCATAAAATTTTGAATGCGCGATTTCTTTTGGGGGGGCTTTCCAGGGAAGGGATTACGAGAGGCGGTTAACGGAGACCCAAAATTTCAGCGTTTTTTTCATGCTATTTATAAGAAAAAAACAGAAGGCCTTTTTATTTCTTGGGCTTGCAGCTCGGACATCATTGTTACTCCGACTTCATGAGCCGCAACCCAAACCCATAACTTATTCCCCAGAGCATAGGGGCGTCGCAGAAGCATATAATCTCAGCAAACCTGCCACGACGACAGACTGTTTCAGTTTTGGCCTGGGGTGGACTTGCATCAGGACTGTTGCATCTCATCTGTGATCCATTGGACTGCACGATGCCAAATTGCGAAGTAGGAAATCGGGGCCTCTAGGACCCCACATCTTGAAAAAAATGCACGGCGGTTAGTCGCCGCTGATCTGCCTACTGCCTAGATCAGCGGCGGAGAGGGGTTGAGTGATAGTCTGCTTTGATTTTCGTCACAGGTACCTTGAGGGCAGTGGTTGGTGCCCACCTCAGGGTATCAGTTGTCGGCCAGTTGTGATGCTTAACCACAACCAGAGTTAAGGTGGATTATCACTTACAGTGTAATCAGTTAAGGGATTCTGCAGACTGTTGAGGGTTCAGCCTCCTGATGAGTCGGTGAAACTCCTTGGACACAGTTTGTCACAGCCCCTCGTTTGTTGTCCTCTTCTCCCTCTCTGCCTACGATTTAGCGGGCAGCTCCTCTGTTTGACCGTATATACAAAAAACAAATTGTATTCTTTGTCACCGGCCCTATGGCTGATCAACTCAACATGTGTGTATTGCTCTCTCTTCTTCCTCTCCCATGTCTCTCTCTGTGCCTGGGCTACTCTCTCTCTCTCTCTCTCTCTCTCTCTCTCTCTCTCTCTCTCTCTCTCTCTCTCTCTCTCTCTCTCTCTCTCTCTCTGCCTAGCATGTACCAGACATCTTATCTGTTGACAATGAGGAAAGGGCTCTGACTGGAAGGGACTTGACTTCACAATGGGAAAGATCTGCAGTTTCCACAACCGCACAGTCATCAGACAGATTGCAAGGGGGAAAAGTAAGTGCACCAGCTAAAGACGCAAATTGTAAAATCTTGACGATGCTCCCTTCTTCTCTGCAAATGATCTACACCATTCACATGTCCTACATTTGCTGCCTGTGATCCTCTTTGACATTGTTCAAATGTCCTACATTTGCCTGCTGTGATCCTACGTTTCCTTTTACAAAAAAAAAAGGGTGTCGGTAGTCTGTCTCTGATCAGAGGCTACCTGATTGCTTGGTTGTTCTGCTGATAGACACAAATGATTAACGTTACCCCTCCAAGGGGGCTTCACCCCTCCAAGGGCCCTTCACGCCTCCAAGGGCCCTTAAACCACCAGTACCTCGCTCAGCTATTGAATCCGAGCCTCCCAGCATGCTGCGGGCCAAGTCCTGCCGAACCGCCGTCGCATTTTTCTTTTTCGTTTTGCCTGCGGCCTCCAGCCAATGCGGTCCGGCAGGCCGAAGCCCAAATGGCGCGGCGCGTATACGGGAAGCACCGCGGCCAATAGCTGGGCCAGGTACTGGTGGTTTAAATGTTACCCCTCCAAGGGCCCTTCACGCCTCCAAGGGCCCTTAAATGTTAACCCTCCAAGGGCCCTAATCATATGAATGCTTCCGCACACGTGACATGCAGGGTGTTGTAGAGGCCAGTCACTGAGTGCCCCATGATCACCTGGAGCTGTGGGCCGTGGGTGTCCTGGAATATGAGACCACCTCCCATCCCATCCTCGCGTCAATACTCCTAGCGCACCCCCCTATCCCACTATCCTACCTCAGCGTGACCAGCACTCAGGACCATTACCCTACCAATGCGCAGGCCACTTGGACCGAACAGCAGTGATAGGCACCAGGGCTGATAGGTTGCCCAGCCCTGATGGAAGCGGAATCGGACGAGCCTTGTCGAACGGGAATTTTGTGTCCTTGATGATCGATCATTACGCACGGCACGGACGGAGATGGTAATATTTTTTTGTGGACTAGCATACAGACGTCAGCTGGCATTGAATTAGGCTCTCGAGCCAGGTATGCAGAGCCCCTATCTTCAATATAATCACACAGGTGAAGCCTCGCACTGTAATCATGCAAGTGTTTGTAAAACCGACTGCGCAACTGATTACGCAACTTGTCCTACAACCATTTGGTCCGCGCTTCTCTAGTAGACAGACAAAGCTGGCTTGATCACAGTGCCTCGAAGTAGAAGACTCCCGCTCCTCGTGAAATATGAGATGACCTCTCACAGAACAGCATTGCCAGATGCTTCAATCTCAGGTGAGCACGCAAACTAGTAGCCTCTTCCCCCGGGATAAAACGTACGGTCATTATAGCTGTACTTTGGAGTGAAAGATACCCAAAAAATACAGCTATACTGACCGTACGTTGTATTCGGGGGGGAAAGGTAGTGACGATCGTGGTCTGCCTGGGAGTTGCAGACACCCTCTCCTTTTGAAATCTCAGATAAAACAACATTGTGAAATTTCAAACTGGTACTCGAACTGCCGTCTTCCCCCGAATAGAACGTACGGTCGTTATAGCTGAAATTGGGGCAACTTTCAGCCTAGATGCAGCGGATATTATCGTAACGTTCTATTCAGGGAAAGACGGCCGCGCTGACGCCTGGACTATGCGCAAGCACTATACAGTAAATCAGTGACATCGTGGCTATGCTAAGTATGTTGACGTTCTGGCAATGTTGAGTTCAGAGCAGCAGTTATCGTTGACTTGTCTCTGGATGTAATTGCGGTCAGATGCATGCGCAAGAAACCGTAATTTTGATTTCTCCTCAAACGACTGGCAGATCTCATCAGATTTTGGCACTCCAACCAACCATGACTGGACTTTCATTGTTGACGTTCTGAGAATGTTGCGTTCAGAGCAGCAATTATATCGTTGACTCGTCTCTGGACATAATTGCGGTCAGATGCATGCACGAGAAACCGTGATTCCGGCCACAGACTGGCAGGAAAGAAACGAGCTTTCGGAGATAGAAACCCCATCAAACAAAGAGTGAACTCACACGAGGACTTTCCTGGATGCATCTGTGACCAAAATTACGGCTTCCCGTGCATGCATCTGACCGCATTTAGGCCCAGATATGAGTCAAGGAAGTCCTAGCGTGAGTCTGCCCCTAACCGATGACGATCTCAGAGCTGCAAGAACCATAGCCAATGGGTGAAGGTTAGCGCCTGTAATGACCTGCAAAATCACAGACTGACCTGCAAAATCACAGACTGATACAAAATCACAGACTGACTGCAAAATCACAGACTGACCTGCAAAATCACAGACTGACTGCAAAATCACAGACTAACTGCAAAATCACAGACTGACCTGCAAAATCACAGAGTGACTGCAAAATCATAGACTGNCTCTCTCTCTCTCTCTCTCTCTCTCTCTCTCTCTCTCTCTCTCTCTCTCTCTCTGTGCCTAGGCTACTCTCTCTCTCTCTCTCTCTCTCTCTCTCTCTCTCTCTCTCTCTCTCTCTCTCTCTCTCTGTGCCTAGGCTACTCTCTCTCTCTCTCTCGCTCGCTCGCTCTCTCTCTCTCCCGCCCCCCTCTTTGGGACTGGGCTCCCATGGACTGTACTCATATTGCACAGGATGGTGAAATTTAATCGTACTGTGCAAAGTTTTCTGGCAGTAAGTGATTTCGTGGTGCTCTCTCCACGTGGACCACTACCGTCTTCCCCGGAACACAGCACACCGTCATTGTGATTGCATCAGATTGGGAACACCAATACGATCCAATCATGATGGTGTTGTGTTGTGTTCAGGTGAAGACAGTAGGGTACGCAATGCGTACAAGTGCAGAGAAACTACCGTCTTCACCCGAATAGAACGCCCGATCATTGTAGCTGTATTTGGGGCAACTTTCAGTCCAGATGCAGCGATAATGTCGGGTGAACAGGGTAGTCATGATCGTATGCGTTGATATTTAGGATGTGCTGTGTTCAGGGGAAGATGGTAGTGTACTCAATGGATATCGTGGTGGTCGTACCGTCTTGAAAATTTCTCTCCGGCGATGAGAATTCAGGCGGAGAGAAAATTTCATAGAAACTTTGCTGGTGTTGGCAATGACGGCCAGCAATTTCTCTGCGCCGATGAGAATTCAGGCGGAGAGAATTCAGGTGCTATTTTCTTTCCACCCAATCTTGCATTCTGGTTCTGCTTCTGCGTCCCATTCCGTGTGTGTGTGTTTTTCTTCTTGTTTTCCCCTGTGTCGCCTCAACCTCTTATGTCCTCCTCCTCCTTTCTCAGCGTCCTTATAGGCCATTTTCCTGATGCTTGCTGAGTTTTCTTGACTCTGTGCAGACTTCTTTACGAGCTTTGTGGAAAGCAGCGTACCCAGACCGTGGTCTTAATGGTCTTGTGTCTGACCAGTGGAAGGACATGGGTTGGCAAGGAAGGGATCCGTCAACAGATTTCAGGTGAGCTCTTCTTCCTTGATTTTTTAAAGCACTGCGCAACCATGTTGCGACTATTCTGTCGCCATTTGCAATACTGCGCTCTAATATCTTTGTGACCAATCTATTTCTCTCCTTAGAGCAGTTTTGCACCGAAAGTGGCAGCGTATCAGATGAGTGAGATTGTACTTCCTTGTTTTATTGCTTGGTACTTGCTTGTTTTATTGCCAATTGCATCCATCTGCGTTTCCATGGTCATTTCTGTCTTTCTCTACCCCTGGACAGCACCTACTGTGTGGTTTGACTCTGTTGCAGGGTCATCAACTTCCGATTGCTTTTCTGATGTAACCCGAATGTTCACAGTACTTAGTCAATCTCAAAGCTGGTTTGTGCACATTCAGAGAGAGAGAACCGAGAGACCTATGTGAGTCTCTCTCAAACAGAGCTGCCCGGTAAACCGTAGGCAGAGAGGGACAAGAGGGAGAAGAGGACAACAAACGAGGGGCTGTGGCAAACTGTTTCGTCGGAGTTCCTCCGACTCATCAGGAGGCTGAACGTCAACAGTCTGCAGAATCCCCTAACTGATTACACTAAGTCATAATCCACCTTAACCCCAGCTGTGGTTAAGCATCAATGACTGCCCGACAACCGATACCCTGAGAGAGAGAGAGAGAGAGAGAGAGAGAGCTGCTTGGCGGCCATGCAGATCTTGAAGAACCTGTGTAAGTCATTTCAAGTTGTAAACAAGTACTGTGTGTGCTCATACTGTGTGAATCTTGCTGATGCGACTTGGATCTTGAGTGGGATGCATACTTTAAGTTTAAACTTCAAACTTCAAACTTCAAAGCAATAAGGGCGATAAATCAAGATCTTTATCAGTAAAGGACAACCTTTTCCATCTTCTCTATTTGATATTTCTGTTGGTATTTTGCAGGGGTGGGGGCTTCATCTCCTTGGAGAATCTCCTCTACTTTGCAAACGAGCATCCGGTGAGCATTGACACTGAGGCTGGTACTCCGGGGAACATGCATCATTGAAGGTTGTTTCATTTGCATTATTATGATTATCATTACCCAAAGAGTATTTTGCATAATACTCTTTGGGTAATGATAATCGTAAATTCATAATGAATACTTGAAAGAATGTACGCCGACCAAGCTCTTACAATGTCAGTTCGTGCGTTGACTTGCTATAATCTCAGGTCGTGGGCTTGCGACAATTTTAGTTCGTTGAACTTGCGTCAATTTCAGTTCGTTGACTTTGCGACGGAGAAAACTTCTTCCTGCATGAAAAAACAAGTGAACAAATGCATCTGGGCTACCGTCTTCACCCGAATAGAACGCCTGGTCATTATAGCTGTATTTGGCACAACTTTCAGCCCAGATCCGGCAATAATCTGTACGATTGTACTTGAAAATGATCAGTTCCTTAGGTGTCGCACTCTTCTGTATCTACAAAAACAGGGAAAAAAAGCCAAAAAAAAAAAAAAAGGGAAACTGCCGCTGGTACGGCGCACGAGCAGGTGCGTGCAGCGCATCACACGGTACGGCGCACGGTGCGGTTGCAAGGTTGGTGCAATCACATGGAGACCACATAACTGAATTTGGGATCTACTCCTGTTCCTAGCATCAGGTTCCAGATTTATTTTTATTTTTATTTTTATTTTTATTTTTAATTACTAGAGTCTGAAGAAATTGTGTCATTTTAAACTTAGGATCTAGCTTTCCTGGGGCGCTCGGCCGGGCGTGCCTGGCTGGGTGCCCCGGGCGCTTTGCCCAGGTAGGTACCTCGCCTGGGGTACCCCGGGCATGAAAAAAATCCACCGGGCTGGAAAGCTAGCTTAGGATGCTGAAGTGGCTGAATATGCTTCCAGGCTCCAACACATGACAGCTCAGAACAAATGTCAAGCTGGATGGCTGTGAAGGGCACAAACGGCTGGTGACGGACGAGGAGGTCGCAAATAAATCTGCTCTCTCATAGGGAGCCTCTGCGGTGACCTCTGCGCGAAGTGCCTTGGAAGGTTATGTCACCAATGGCTACGTATGTTCGTCATCCGTGTATCATGCCCAAGCAATTGGTTTCTGCGGCTTTGTGTTTTCTAAGCCGCCAGTGGACATTCCCATCCTTGCAAGATGAGCACGATAGCAGTGGTACTCTTTTTTTGGTTTTCTTCATCACCGACTCCTAAAATCTTGGAGGCTCGAGGCTACCAGGCCACAATGGCTGGCGGCAGCCAGCGGAAAATGTAAAAGGAGCACCGCTGGCTGCTCAGCACAGAACGGCGCTGCCACGCCGGGGTGTACTGGTTTGTTTAAACTCTTTTTTTTGGCCTCTTGTCAATCCATGGAATACTCAGGGTTTTGTTTTCTTGGGGGRGGKGGGGGGGGGGTTGGGGTCCACGGGCAGTGCAATCGACTCTGTTCGAACAACTACACCTCTTGTCAAAACAGTCAATCTGTATGGAAAAGGAAATTGCAGATATTGATAAAATTGCTACCTTCTTCACCTGAATAGAATGCCTGATCATTGTAGGCGTATTTGGGCCAAGTTTCAGTCCAGATGCAGTGATGATTGCACGATGTTCTATTTGGGTGAAGGGTAGTGGTGAACACGAAGTAGAAATCAAAAGAAGCACCTGGTTCGTTTCCTCACTTATCCATTCCAGACAGGTGGTTGTCTGTCAAGCTAATGCCCTATGCGAGGTTCACAAGTCTCAATTTCTCAAAGCAATGCACACAAGATAACTTCAGGGAAAGGTACATCCATCGTCCACTGCAAAATGGAGTGACAAATGTATTGTGGTGCGCTCTGCTGCTACGGGTAGCGGTGCAAATTGCTGGTGGTAGGCATCTGCTGTCCACACACTCTGAGGAAAAGGAAGTTGGAGATGCTGATAGACTTGCTACCTTCTTAACCCGAAAAAAATGTACGTACCTTGTATACGAATACAACGTACGGGGTACGTTATAGAACGAGTTTTAGGGTACAACTTTTCAGAAGCCTGTAGTACCGCCATTGTTTTAATTTTTATCTCAAATTTGGTTGGGAATTTTGCCAAGACCCTCAGGCAAAAGTTGTTTGTATTGTAATGTTGTACAACATACTTTTTTTCGGATTTTTTACTGATTTTTTTTTTAAATCGAAATTCTGAAAAAATCAGTAAAAAATATTTTCATCCTCGTTTTTATTTTTTTCTCGAATTTTCTCGTGAATTTCGATAAAACCCTCACGCAAACGTTGTTTGTATTGCATTGTTGTATAACATTTTATTTTTTTCGGATTTTTATAATTATTTTTGAAAAATCAAAGTACCAAAAATTCGAATACAACACACAAATACAGCATACGTACGTTATATTCGAACGTATGTTTTATTCGAGGAAAAACAAGCGATTTCTGAAAACCCGATTTCTAGAGTTAATTCGAATATAACGTATGTACGTTTTTTTTCGGGTTAAGAAGGTAGTCGGCAAAGCAATGTATAAATTCGTGAAGTATTAAATTAAACGAAAAAGGCAGCTGGTTCTTGCCCGTCCCCAGCCTTGCTGGACATACAACTCGTCGCCTGCAAGAATATCGGAGGCTCGGCCTACCGGACCACAATGGCTGGCGGCGCCAGCCAAAAAAGGAAGAAAGTGCGCCGTTGGCGGTTCAGAAAAGCTTGTCGCGCAGGAAGGCACCTCCCGTCCAGGGTGTACTGGTGGTTTAAACCACACAAGTACATGGCCAAACGGTTCAAGAACACCATGCTACCAGGGTTACTCTCGATGGTCTTGAAGCAATATGTCAACAACTTGATCGGTACATGAAGACTGGATTTGCCTGGGGGTGAGCGGCTTGGGCCAAAATGTTGCGGTCCGAGGGGGGGGGACCGTGTGGGCAAAAATTTATTGGCGGGCTGCTCTCGGCGCTGTGAGAGCTTGTCTTGGTCTCTTGCGTGGTGTCGTGTGGCCTGAGCATCTTTTGGGCAGCCACATGGCAGCGTATGACGTCCTGAAAAAAAAAATTGGGTCACGTGTCAGCGTACGCGTGCTCGTGTAAACATCGGAAAACGACACGTGTCTTTTTGAATGAGCTGGGAAATTATTTTTTGGGGGTTTCTAACTTTCTAGGATATTAAGAACACTGGTTTATCTGCGGTGAACTGTTGAAACTTGAAATACAGACCTGAGTTCAAACTCCATAGGAAGCACAATTTTTTTTTCTTCTTTAAATTCTTTCTGTAAAACAGGTCCTTATGGTTCTGGCTCCATATCCATTCTGGGGAGCGTCAGTCCGGTTCCTATTCCACCGGCAAGTCAAAATTGAATACATCATAATAGTATGATACTACACGCTCACGCTTCCTTCCCTGTGGCCGAAGGAACCCTGACCAGCATTGATTATATTCCTAATAGGAGGATTGACTGTCAGCTTCCTCAAAAAATAGTAAAATACTACAATTCTGAATTACCTTGAAAAAGACAAAAGCCCACTGCCGGTTTTGTCGGTTGGTTTGGCATATATGGGCATTTCGCCGCATTCAGGCAAATTGAAGGGTTCCATGCAAGATGGGCTTCGTGGGATTGCTGTGTGAGATGTTTCGATAGGGTGCTTCTTCGTTGGGATGTTTGTGTGGGGGACTGATTGCGGCATGGGGATCTGTGAAAAAGTTGGTATGTATAGCCACTTTAGTAGTACTGGTTTCTGGATTCGAAAAACAGAATCTTTTTTTTTTTTTTTGGAAACATAACAAAGCTATCAACACTACGCGACGTACGCGTCAAATCTTCAGTGCTTTGCAGGTGCTCGCAAGAGATCATCTGGAGGGGACAATCGTTCTCGTCCTCAGTTGACAAGTGGTAATCATTTTTGTGGAGGGACGGGTTGTGGGGATGATCAGCTTGCTCTTGCGCTGGAGAGCGCGGTGTCTTCTTTCAAAACGCCATGAGCGGAAAGCTAACGCGCGATGTTGATCTGTCTGTTTTTGGTGAGCAGCGTCAATTCCGCCGTATATTCAACAAGGAAACGGGAAAGAGAGCAGACTGGGAGTACCCCTTTGCGGTTGCTGGTTTAAATGTGACATTCATGCTTGTCGAATTGCTTGGTTTACGGGCAGGTGAGTGTGAGTGGGTAATGTATCAGTTGATTCCGTGCACTGAAGCTCCTTTGTGACTATATTTATTTCGGAAATACTGAAGTTTTAACATACATGCCACCGTCTTCACCCTCTAATAAAATGCCATGTCATTATCGCTGCATCTGGTCTGGAAGTTGCTGCAAGTACAGCAATAATGACCGGGCATTCTATTCAGTGTGAGTGGGTAATGTATCAGTTGATTCCGTGCACTGAAGCTCCTTTGTGACTATATTTATTTCGGAAATACTGAAGTGTTAACATACATGCCACCGTCTTCACGCTCTAATAAAATGCCATGTCATTATCGCTGCATCTGGTCTGGAAGTTGCTGCAAGTACAGCAATAATGACCGGGCATTCTACTCAGGTGAAGACGGTAGGGCCGGTAGGCCTGAAACAGCATTGACAGTAGTGAAATGACGTCAGGGGATCAGGTGAGGGGGAGCTTCGAGAAAGAGAGGTGGGGGGGCTCATGTTATTTGGCTGGTACCAGGCTTAGGCATGGCTGATTGAACTCTACCTGCATTGTCTATGCAGAATGTTTTGGCACGGCACGAGGGTATTGATGGCATATGGGGTGATGGGTCAAGTTTAAAATAAGTGGGACGGATTCTGATTTTTCAACTAGGAAGTGATTCAAAAAGTTTTTTTTCCCCCCCTTTCATTTTGTTTCTTTTTTTCCGTCATTAGATCAACCCCCCGATCAAGTAACTGCCACTATAGATCGACCTGCCTAGTGCCTAAAAGTATCATTCCCAAGAAAAGGAAATTTGTATCCTATCCCTTAAGCAGCATTGGCCATGGGGGGGGAGGTCCATGACGTGCTGCGCGCCCGATTCGGGTTGAAGTTTTGGTGAGGGGCGGCGGATGAAGGCGATCGAGGGGGGGGGGGAGTGTGCAAAGGGCTGCGCGTACCGAAATGTTCACATCGCACCATTAAACGAGAGGATGCGCCCCGGGGGTGGGGCACACAGCTGGCGTTGATGCAGACAAACATCTTGGAGGTGAGCCATCCGATATGTGGGCTTTTTTTCTTTTTTTTTTCCCGGTTTGCCGTCGTTTTGTGTACCCCTTCTCCTTTTTTCATTTCTCATGCCTGTCGTTTTTTGTCCCCCCTTTTTTTTGTTTTTGCCCCTTTTCCTTCCTTCTTTTTCCATTCCCGCGCGGTTGCCGTTTTGTGCCCCCCGGTAGGCCGTCGTTGTTTCTGCAGACGAACATCTTGGAGGCGAGCCATACGAAATGCAGTGTGAGGTCACCCACTGCATTTGTTATTTCTGCGGGCGTAGCGCGCACCGCCCGCACCACAGGCACTTAGCTAGTATATACCAACCCGGACAATCTTTTTCAAATTTCAAATGTTCTTTAAGAAAAAAAATCATACGAACAGTCGAACACAAGATTTTGAGTTTTAAGACTTTTAATTGATATTTGTGGAGTTGATTATCCTTCTCCAAGAGATAGATTTGAAATGGTGTATAACTTACTGCACGACAAGAAACCTGTCTACGGTCAGTCTATAGATAATCAAGTAACTGCCACTATAGATTGACCTGCCTACCGTCTTCCCCCGAACATAATGCACCCTTAAAATGAACGTATACAAGTTATATTTCCGGCCAGATACAGCCAAAATGAGGGTGCGTTGTGTTCGGGGGAAGACGGTAGTGCCTAAAATCATTTGGGTAGATTATCCTTATCCAAGTCCTGGCGCCTGCCGGGCTAATTTGAAGTTTCCCAGTTACTCACTATAATAGAGGAAAAGGCACACACCCATGCACCAAAATGCCAGACCAGTCCTTTGGGGGACATCCGTTAGAATTGGAACGATACAGAGAAAGAAGATTAGCATGGACCCTGCGCGAGGATGGCACACGTAAATCAAGAAATCGTCCCCCCCCCCAAAAAAAAAAAAAAAAAAAAAAGGCAAGCCAGACCAATGATCATCCCTGTTGTCCTACTTCGTCTTCCTCCTCTTCTCCTCCTCCCACTACCCTCTTTTCTTATTCTTCACATAGTCATGAAAGTCGTCTTTTTTAGCAAAATAATAATGAAATAATGAAATGGCATCATATCGTAGTAGTCATTACTGCTGTCATCACTGTACTGCTCTTGTGTTTTCCCACAGTAGCGGGCCTCGCTTCACTGCACAGCATACTGAATGTATGTGGACCCGATAGAGGTCTGATGCATTCGAAATATCTGATCAGTCCAAATGCATTTGGTCTAGGTGCCACTCTGGATACCTGTCGAATGTTGAGTGGCGAAGTGCAGTCCAATGTGTGTGTGACCTGCTGCGGAGGTGCGGAACGAGGGTATGGGGGTGCCGTGAATTGATTGGATAAGAAGGAAGTGCTGATGCATATCTTGTATTGATACTATTGATAGTGATGGCTATTGGAAATGGAGACATTATTCGTCTCATTGAATGAAGCTGACCCTAATTGCGATCTTACAATATCTCAAGCGGAATTATCGGAGAAATTTTAGTAAATATTATTAAAATTTCATACAAAACACAATTGCAATCAGACTCGTTCTCATTCACACTTTTCATGCATGTAAACAGTAGCGCAGCAGACTGGCGACATGCGCCCACTCAAAACTCAGAGATATAGCATCCAGATACGAGTTCACTTTCAACTGGCTATGGCGACTCAGCGCCCAAACAACTCACTGTTCACATACACCGGACCACTCTGGATATCCCACACGCGTCACTTTGAACACTCACACATACACACACACACACACTTCACACTGAACTACAGCTATGGCAGCTATGGCTGCCTCTACCCTACAGCTATGCTATGCCCCTTCTCTCTCGCCCACTTCAGCTCCGGGCTCTCTGCAGACCTCCTTGCACAAGTCGCTGTGGCAGCGCTTCCGCATGGCTCACGCAGGAAATGAATGAAAAGCTGGGCGCTGCCTCTTGATTTATACTTCTGAAACTCGTTGGTCTGCCCTCTTTCATTGGCCCATGGTGCTCACAGTCCCTTGTGGTACTTGCTGGACCGGACTGGGACTGACTGGACCTTACCGCTGACTGAGTGGGGACTCACTGCTAACCTACTGAGATCGTACCGCAATTGCACTGCAGTTTAGTCCACCACTTGACTCACCACTTGCCCACTTGCTGACCTTCTAGAAGGACTACAGCTCAGACTTCTGGAACTCGCTAAGACTTCTATCCTACAGATCTACAGATCGAACCCCTCTGCTACCTACGGACCTATGACAGCCTATCAACTGTTTGCGAACACACAGGTCACAGGTTCAACTCTCGGGGTCTACACAGATACTGTACACAGGTAGGGCAAGGTCTAGGGATCGAACCCTGGGATCTGCGTCTGCTACTGCAAAGAGGTGAAAACCGTTTCACAATTGTTGTTAATTCGTGATTGATTGGTATATACTATGTAGTATGTACTGTAGTATGATAAACATTACAAAGTAAGTATATGGTAAATAGTAAAATAGTAAATAGTAAATAGTAAATAGTAATTAGTTATCGTAATCGCAGTTCTTCGTCACATATTGCTTAAAGCCTTCTATGTGTCTGTGCTTGATCTCCTGTGGTTTGGAAAACTGTTTGCAGATTCGAAGGTGCCGACCACACGTGCAGCTGTGCATTTCACTGCATATCTAGAAGGTTGGTGTTTCTTTCCTTTGCTGGTGTTCAGTCCTTTTGCCAGTCAGTGACAACAACATTATTTGCAGACCCAGTGACTGCACTGTTGCCTGCACCATGTGAACCGTGTGTGTGTGTGCATGGAGCATAGAAGAGAGGGGAACAGAGAGGGGGAGAAAGAGACAGGCATGCACACACACACACGAGAGAGAGAGAGAGAGAGAGAGAGAGAGAGAGAGAGCTGGTGCATCATGTGGTGTTTTATTATTGCTGATTGTTGTTTGTGTGATACCAACGAGAAGCATGACCGTCTGAATCAGAAAGCTGTGGAACAGCGCAGGCAGAAGAACCTGCCGGCAAACAGGTTCTGGACGGTTGCCCTTCTACAGGAGATAATCCCCGGATCTGGATATTCGGGCATCATATTATATCCTGTAGAAGGGCGACCGTCCAGATCCGAAAGGCCGGGACTAGTATTTGCCATTTGGACATGATGCTTCTGCGTCTGCGTCTGCGTCTGCTTCTGCTTCTGCTTCTGCTTCTGCTTCTGCTTCTGCTTTTACTATTCATGAGGAATATGAAGAGCGGAGTGTTGTGCTGTCATTGTGTGCTGCATGCACATGTCGCCAGACTCCCTACCCTAGTTTGCACTTCATGCTCCTCACAACACACCAGAATGGTCTATTCATTGTCCAATGTTTTCTGCAGACTCCCTATATTGCATCACAGAATAGTCATATGATACGAGAGGCAGTATGCTGGGCCCTTCAGAAGACGACATGAGTCTGATCAAGCATCATCATCTTTTATCGTCGATGTGTTGAAGCTGTTTGAATTTTCTTGTGATGGTCTTCGCATGGTAGCCACTGCCTGCTCCTTAGGAACAGACTCCCTCCCACATCTCCTCATGGCAGCGCCGGACAGTTCATGAAGTCCACGGCGAGTCGGAGAGGACAGCCTGAAGCACGCCGTCTCCACCCATCCTGTTATAGTGTCAAGCAAGCTCATTTCGAGACGCCTTCAGAAAAAAAAAAGTCAAGATAGGTTCACGAAGGTCTGTAAATTCTGTCAAGTACAAGACTGGCTGCATACTCTCTGGGAGTCCTATGTGGGATCTAGCTGCAAGCCTCGCTTCGAATAGGAAGTGAGAATTTCGAATAGGAAGTGAGAAGAGTATTTGAGAAGAGTAATTTTTTTATTATTTTTCTTTCTTTCTTTTTCTGTTTTTCCCTTATACCACCACTATCTTTCGGAGTGGAAGGCTAACTCGTAGATGCAACCTATACCGAGGACGGGCTGGGCGCCAGCGGGCCAAAATGCCTGGTGGCATCCAAAACAAAAGAAACAAGGTGGCGCTGCCGCTTTGCTGCTTCCGCAAAGCTTGGTGCGCAGTTCCTCCCACCTAGGCAAGAAGAGGGTCAGAGCTACAGTCTTCACCCGAATAGGTTCTGCCTGGTAATGATCGCCGTATCTGGGCTGAATGTCGTGCCAAATACAGCTATATGACCGGGCGTTCTACTATGGTGAAGACGGTAGTGGTGGTTTAAAGGAAAGGAGAAGAGTTTCAAGGAGGAGGGGGAGGGGGAAAAGTGGGAAAGGTGGGGAAGGGGGAGTGGCTACAGAGGGTTTTGGCTGCGTGCGGAGGCACAGCCCTTTGTTCTTCCATCTGTCTGGACTGTTGCGAAGTTGAGATGCTTGGCCAGTATCACTGGGCTGTTTGGGGAGGGGTTCTCGCGGATCGGCGTGTTTCACAGTTCATTGCACAATGTATAGGCTTGGTTCCAAATCGTTAGCGGGGACGGCCTGATTGGTCACGGGTGGCATTTGTTGTTCTTGGTAATACGGCTGTGCGGACCTGGACACTGCACTGGCGCTGTTTAGACGTCCAGCTGGACCTCTGTCCAGATGGGTCCGTACTGTCCCGATGTACCCTTACCCCCACCCCACCGCCAAAAAAATAAAAATAAAATAAAATTTCATAAAAAAATCATCTCGATATTTTTCCTCGTATTTGGCTGCGCATGTCAAGGTGATGTGATGTGCATGTGTATGTGGACGTGGATGTGATAATAGCAAAAGTTTAGAATCAAACACACGTCCAAACCATACTTGCGGCGCATGTGTGCGGTGCGCCATGCAGTGCGCTAAACGGTGGTGCACACACACACACACACACACACCGAAAAAAAAACAAAAAAAAAACGGCCATGATAGGTGTATACTAGTATACAAGGGGGGGAGAGAGAGAGAGAGAGAGAGAGAGAGAGAACAAGCAAAGAGTTCTTTCACATTATTTAGAATACCCCTCTTGATACTCTGAAAGCCCCCTCTCCTTTATCAGCTAGGATTCCCTTGCCAATAAAGAGGTAAATGTAGGATTTGTAAGTTGGTGGCAGCAGCCCCAACTGTGTATGCTGTAACTTCCAATTCAGGTCCGTGTTTCAGCAGTTATGGGTTACTATCACTCCACTACTCACCAAATGTGCATGAATCTTGTGCTAGAACATGGAACTATACGCCGCCGTCGTGACTGGTGGAGTGAGACCCTTAGGGCCACTGCACGTAAGAAAAGGAAAAACAAAAAAAGGAGAGAGCTGCTGTAGTATTAGTAGCGAGTTAGTAACCCATAACTCCTGGAACACAGACCGGAATTCAAATCCAGACTATATATTGATGGACGGCTCATGTTTCTAGCTGCAATATAATGAGCGCTTTCAAGAGGAATGGAACCCTTATTAGTTCCCCCTCTGGGGGCCCTTTGGAAATCCAATGAGTATGTCAAGGCCCCAAATTCTCTCTTTCTGTGCACTTGGAATTTTCAGAAGGGAGGGCTTCGTTTGACCCTCACTGCCCTGCCCTTTTCGATTTTTTTTGTCTTTTCTCCTGCACATATGGTGCAGCTGCGCGTGCGTGCGTATATGCACATGTGCACTATGCGCCGCATGTATGATGGTCCGAACATATAGCACACGTCAAAAGTACGTGAGTGGACGACTCTGTACGGCACACTTAGCTGTGTACAGTGTGTGATGACCAAGACAGGACACGGACACACAAGGCGGTGGGTATATGGCTACGCCAAAGCTTTTGCAATGCTGCATGACATGTGTTTTTTTCGGACTCGTGTAATTTTTATTATTATTATTTTCTTTAATTTTCTTAACCACCAGTACCTTTGTCGGTTCGGAAATACTCGGCCTCCGAACTTTCAGGAGGTCGAAACGAAACGACGGCCGCCGATCAGACTGATCAACGTCGGGCTCAGCCTCCTGAAAGTTTGGGTACTGGCCAGGACTTGTCGGAACCGGATGCCAAAGGTACTAGTGGTTTAGCCATTTCTCGATTGATGTGTGTCATCCTTGCGCACAGGCCATCGTTCCAATTGTAACGGATGTCCCGAAGGACTTTGTGATTTTTTTTAATTTTTTTTTTTGAAGTCGGATTTTTTTTTTCGAGGTGGGGAGGCCGATCCGGACGATCTGAACCGAACAGCATACCCGGACATCCAGACGCAGACGGTCTGCACTGCGATCCGGATGTCCAGATAGCAGCCGCCATGATGTGTAATGTAGCCCAGGTTCGTGGTATCCTAGCATGGACATCGCACTGGTGTCGCCTGACCCTTACTGTTTGCATTCCAAGAAGACGAAGAAGACGAAGAAGACGAAGAGGACGAAGAAGACGAAAAAGCAGAACATGATACTGATGATGATGACTACGACGATGAGGAGGAGGAGGAGGAGGAAGAAGAAAGTTCTTGTGATAGGAAAGTTTATTTGTTTTCTTTCCATAGGCTGTGATTTTCCTCGCAAGCCATGATGATGGCTTGCATGGATTTGAGTAATTCTAAAGGGGAGTTTGTTTTCTTCCCATCGCAGATGATTTGAAATTTGGAAGTTTGTTTGAACCCTTCTCGTGTGGTTTTGTTATTTGTACTCACTGGTGTGTTGTTATATATGTGCCCATGTCTTCTGCTTGATGCCATTCTATGTGGAAGAGGAACAAGAACCCTTCACGTAGCAGGCGGAAATCCTTCCCGTTGGGGTGTTATTTTTTTACGGAATAATTGTAGTATTTTATGGAATTTTTACCCTTTTCAAGTTTTCAGCTCAACTCACTGGTGGTGCTATATGTGCCCATGTCTTCTACTTGATGTCGTTCTTTGTAGATGAAGAAGAAGCTTTTGATGAGCTTTACTGTGTTGCCTTCCAGCTGCTAGATTCCCAATGGTTGGAAATGGGGGCGTCCTACATGGAATTCAATGTGAGTTAATCGACCTGGTTCTTTTGCCCGATATAGCGTTCACAGATCCTGTGAAGCAAAAGGTTTGGGGGGGCTTGGACTCTTTGGAGGGAGATGGATAAGCATGAACGACTCCCCATTAAAAGCGAATTGATAGAGGGGAGCGGTTAAGGGCCTTAAGGCATAATAAAGGGAGGCGAGTGGTCGAATGTCTTTTTTTTTTTTTTTTTTAAATGATTTAAATCATTATAAGTGCTAGGCTACCAGAGTGGTCCGGGACCGCTCGCCCAGCCGGGCCAAAAAAAAATAAATGAAAATAATATTAATATTATTATAATAATATTAATCATTGATTCTCTTTGAAAATTTGGTAAAGAATTTCGATGTGACCCCGAGGCAAAAGTTGTTCAGTTTCTTTTTCTGCATAGTTTTATCAATTTTTTTCGGATTKTTTTTTTTTTTTTTGCTAGGACCTTCCCTTAGTTCCCTGGTCCTTGCACTGCCGGTCCGGTTTTTCCGGCGGGAAAATAGGGTGACCCGGCGGCCCGGCTGGTAGGCCAGTATAAAATTACTATACATGTAGGAAATTTCATTTTGGCAGAGATGTCCGTGAAGGGATTCGAGCCCAGGTCTCTCCACTAGGGTTGGCTGATGTCAGTCCCACCTGGTGAGAGATTTGTCTATGCCACTGGCACTGCATGCATGGTCCCTGACCTTAGTCCCAACTGGTCCCTGACCTTAGTCCCAACTGGTCCCTGACCTTAGTCCCAACTGTTCCTTGTCCTTGGTTGCGCATAATCCGGGCCAGTTTTACCTTTTGCCAGCCAAGCAGTGGTGAAATTGTGGATCCAAATAGCAAACGGCAGCAGCACCTGTGACATGCAGATCTGATGGACAAGCAGTGCTGAAGTTGTGGATCTAAACAGTCCCAAGTGGGGTCCTCTTATGTTCTCCTTGCAGATACCGCAGATCTGACGTAAAAAATTGGAACAGCCAACAGTAACATGGACATAGTTACCGCAGATCTGATGTAAAAAATTGCAACAGCCAACAGTAACATGGACATAGTAACTGCAGATCTGGTGTAAAAAATTGTAACAGCCAGCAGTAACATGGACAAGGTTACTGCAGATCTGACGTAAAAAATTGCAACAGCCAAACCAGATGCAGCGATATGGACTGGTCGTTCGGGTGAAGATGGTAGGTGAGAACCAGAACCCGGAGTGCATGGGCGGGTTCATGATCCTCTGGCATGGAGGCCTAAGGACACTTCGGAGCGCTCTAGTTACTGACGGCCGTCTCCCTTGTGGGTAAGGGTTGATATTGGACTTGCATCACGCCATTTCTCAATTGATTAATCAAGTTATGCGGACTTTTTTTGTTTTGTTTTTTTTTGTTTTGGTTAATGCCCAACTGCGTTCTTCGAGCTGACCGGCCCCGGGCAATTTTGAATTATTTGATTATGTTCATCTGATTACATCTGGATTCGAACTCGGGTCATTATTTCAACAGTTCGTTGAGTGTACCAACTGAGCTAGGCCAGTTGGTATCAATTGGTTTGTTAATTGGTTTGTTGGCTCTGTCATCTAGTTGGTTGTGAAGGCCAGGGGGGTGCTACTTACCATTATGCCCCTTCCTCATCATTGGTGTAATTATCATTATGCCCCTTCCTCATCATTGGTGCCCTTTCCTCATCATTCGTGTAATTCTGATGTGTCCTGGTGGAACATTGGTTTCTGCAGTCTGTGCTCCGAGCAACAAGAAACCAAATCGAGCAGGCGCTTTGTGTGCCAAAATTGCCGAGGATATATGACCTTATGACAATCCTGAATCTACCTCAGTGATCAGCGATCGCAGTCGTGGTGTTTTTCTTCAGCATCTGTACGCCTATGGGGTGTTGACTCTGGAGACTGTGCGTACGGAGGAATAATGGGAGATCAGGCGAGCTTCGGCGAAAGACATGGTTTGGATGAGCATCCTTGCAGTCATCCGTACGGAAGACCGAGGAGCGTAGCTGAGGATGGAGGGGTGGCAATGCCACAAAGTGATGGGGAGCATGAGGGAGAGATGAATGGCCGAGAGAGAATGATGACAGAAGGGCATAACCGAGGATGAGGGGTAGCAGTGCCACAAAATGTAGGGGAGGAGAAGGAGCGATGATCGGGCGAGTGAGAGCGGAGCACTCTGTGAAACACTCACTTCTTACAGCGTGCAGATGCGCATGCTGATCTTATACTGTTGCTGGCAGTGGAAATGGGGAGGCTGTGGTACATGGACAGCTACGGAGCCCACTCCATTCACTCAATGGCGATTGCTACTGCTTGTTCGCGTAAGGAAGGTTCAGTGCGCATGATGGTACGTGTTCCAACTGGTTTGCCTGGTGGTCTTTAATGATGCCATCCTTTGTCCCCAGGTGCTTCTGCCTGGTGCTGTTCTTTTATGATATGATTGGGCAAAAGGAGCTTGCTAGATAAACTTACGGCGGTTTGATGGTGTATACGGCATCTTGTTCGAATGGATCAGTATGTGAGACATGCTTGACATCGATGCTCATGTGCCGGTAGTATGATCGTTTGGCGGCTACGGGATTAGATGCTGCGACATTTGGGCAACTTCACGATGCACTCAGTGCCTATCCCCATCCCTTCTGAGTAGGAATGAGAGAGTGCCGTTTCTGACGGTGAGCGATGGCCATTGCTCGTTATCTTAGGGATGGTGCGGCACATACGATGGTACGCCTTCAGCTGGTTTCAGGAGCTTTCTCTTAACCTGGCCGGTCATGTTTGCCGGCAGGTTCTTCTGCCTGCTGCCGCTGTTTACGAAGGAGAGTACTCTGTTTCTGACGGTGAGCGAATGCTGCCAGTGCTCGGTATCTTAGGGAGAAGGTGCGGCATATATGGTGGTAGGCGTTCAGCTGGTTTCGGGAGCTTTCTCTCAACCTTTCTGGTAATGTTTGCTGCCAGGTTCTTCTGCCTGCTGCTCTTTTTAGGACTGGAGATAGCAAGCTTTGCCAGATAGACTTTGGTGGCTTCATGGTGTATACGATTTATCCTGTTCGACGTTGATGCATGATCAGAATCTCTACGGACTTATCGTTGTAGAAGATTGCTTCAGACGCGGTGATTCGTGGACAGATCCAAAGCTCACTCCATTCACTGAATGGCAATAGCCGTTGCTCGTTCGCATAGGGTGAAGGTCCGGCATATGTGATGGTACGCCTTGCGACTGATTTCCGGAAACTTTCTTCCCCCTCAACCTGTCTCGTCGTGTTTGTCGCCGGGGTCTTCTCTGCCTGCTGCTCTTTGAGGATTGGCTGTGGATAGCGAGCTTACCAGATAGACTTAGACTTTGGCGGTCTCATGGTGTGTACGGTCTATCCAGTTTCATCGTGATGCACAATCCGAATCTCTATCGATTCTCTCTCCATCTTTGTGGCACATTCCTACTTCCTCTCTCCTCTGTTGCTTGCCACAAACAGGGAGAAAAGCTGGATGAGTTTATCAGCTAAGAGGTCCATAACAGAAGAGAAGGCTGGCGTTCGAACGGCACAAGTGAGATCCTTGGGTGAGATGATGTAAAGCATGGGACCTTGGGTGATGATGTAAGCATCGGATCGACCCCCATGGCCTTCACATATACAGGCCATTGATAAGCTTCGGCGTTGAGTGGTGAGCGCACAATACGAAATGAATGTTTCCACGAGTGCTGACTACGTGACTTGCGGGGACATCAGGCACCGGCTGCTGCAACAGTATCGTGCGGATGCAGCATCGTTTCTGCAGAGAAATGCGGGGGTGAACGTTGCGAGGACACCGTGCACGCATGGGCTTCAGCAATGCTGTGCCTGGCATCGTTGCCGGCATCCCGTCAACTGCTTCAGAAGTCAGCTTGGTGGGTGCAGCTGGCGAGCGGTACTTTGTTTTTTTAATCTCCTTTGAATTGAAGATATTAAAAGATAGGAAAGCGGAGACATCGGTAGGCATGAAGGATGGCCACCATTGTTATGGTTTTGAACTTCGCTTTTTCCCTTGATGAGGCTTGCTGACAGTACTTGTACATCCTCCGTAGGAACACTGTTATACCATCCCGATTACGCGTCAACGGCTTTTTCTTGTTTGCTGAACGTTGCTCGTCTTCGTATATTAGTTTTTTAGGGACCGTTGGGAACACTTTTGTTATGCCGCGTCAGGTCAACCACAAACCCTGCTGATTACTCATGTCTTGCTTTGCGATTGCTCCTCCTTGCGGACTAGTTTGTCGGGTCGAGCTCGAGAAGTGGCGGGGGAGAGGAGGAGGTCGGGGGTCGGTATCAGGTTTTCCTTACTTTGTCCTCTGACTGGGAACAGCAGGTTGAGGGAGTCTGGCTGTTTTCAAGGAGTAGAGCGAGCGAGCGAGCGATCAAAACATATCACTGCAGACATCGATTCGGCTCGGTGAGACCTTTATTTACTTTTCTTACGCCATCTCTATGAGAATTTCTTATGGCAGTTTTTTTGTGGTACATTACCATCGTTCGTTTTTTTTTAATTTTTCTGTTTTTTCCCCTTAGTATTCTCTATAGTATAAGCATTGTGAAGTTCGGAGTCCGGAGACCCCGACACTCTTCAAAGGTGAGGGTGAGATAGTGGAACGAAAAGTTAGTGGGTAGACTCGATACTCTTCAAGGGTAGTTAAGTGGGACGTGAAATCTCCGGCCAGCAGCGATGGCGACGACAGTGAAATAATTGGGTCTGTGGCGTGGACTCTTAGATCGTCTCTGCAAGCGATATGATGAAGGCGGACTTGATTGAAATCTCTCCGCTGCCACCACCGATGCTAAGCCAAGGCGTTGGGCCTTTGGTCCGTCGCGCTATCTCATTGGAGTATCAGTTCTCGATACCGACATGCAAACGCGGTTTCAAAACCTTTTATGCTTGAAGAACGGTGGAAGTGTAGGGGGTTTCGGGAGTGAAGATGGTCTGGACGTCTTCACGTCTTGTCTGAAAAAGCGGGGCCAAGCAAGCGATCAATGTCTTCACCAATCACCTCTGGTTGCAGGTTGAAGTCCTCTGTTAAAATGGCGAGTCGGTCTTATTGATCGACGCAAAGCACATGCTGCACAGAGGGAGAAGTGATTACGTGTTGCACAGAGGCGGAGATGGAGATGGGTTCACAGGTGGGCAGGGGAGGAGGATGGCGAGAAACGGGGGAAGCGACTGGGTGATGCTGAAGATAGTGGCATCTGCAGGCGACGCAAAGGGGAAGAGTCCACAAATTTCCAGACATTTGTGCAGTCCCAATGGTCCGCGTGTGTCGGCAGCAGGATGGCGAGAAACGGGAGAAGCGACTGGGTGATGCTGAAGATAGTGGCATCCACAGGCAACGCAAAGGGGAAGACTCCAGAAATTTCCAGACATTTGTGCAGTCCCAATGGTCGGTGCGTGTGCGTGTCGGCAGGAAAGGGGGCCCCGCAGAACGGGAGGAAGGGGGAATGGGTGGTGCTCGAGAGAGCAGCATCCAGGGGCCAAGTGAATGGGAAGAGGCCAGAATTTCGCAGACCTTTGTACAGTCCCTAGCGCGGGTGCGTGTCGGCACCCTGCGAACATCAAACGGGGTCGGGTCAGTGATATACGTGTGCATTTCAACCTCTTTTCCTGAAGAGTTCAGTGTAGGGCACTAGACACAGACCCCCTTTTCTTTGAATAATGGAGTGCAGGCCAGGCACGTCACCCCCTTTTGTTCGACATCATGACAGTGAAGTAGACGTGAACCTGGACAGCGAATAACGGAACACGGACGGATGCAAAGAATACGAATGATGCTTATAATAGGTGTGCGCCGGTAAGAAGTTTCAGTGTTTGTGACGGCGATGCGAGCGAGAAGATTCGGTGTTTGTGACGAGGATGCGAGTGAGAAGATTCAGTGTTTGTGACGAGGATAGTCTGAGTGGCACCTTGGAAAGCAGATCTCAGGAAAGAGACCTGAGCAGCGGCGGTGGTGTGGGAGGATGGAGCTCTCCACCAGTGCAGTAGACGCGAACCTGGGCAGCGAATAGTGGAGAATGCGGATGACACAAAAGGAATATGAAGGAATATGAACGATGCGTATAAAAGAGGTGCGTGCGCGTGAGAAGATTCAGTGTTGCGAGTGCGAAGTTTCAGTGTTTGTTACGAGGATAGCGTGAGTGGTGACGTGGAAAGCAGATCTCGGGAAAGAGACCTGAGCAGCGGATGTTGTGGGCGAATGAATAAAGCTCTCACCGGCAAAATAGTCGAAGGTGGTATAGGTTGGACAGATCACAAGAGAGAATGCGTACGAGCGTTAGCTTCTGCAGAGATCTGCCTGACTCAGGGCATACTCACACTGGCACTTTTCAAAATGAATCTGATTGCATTTATCTCCAGACCCAATGAATCTGACCGCAATCATGTCCAGAGCATATTAGAAAAATAACTAGTGTGACTATGCCCTCAGACATACAAGTATTCAAGAAGCAAATGAGAAGTGACGGAGTGGAAGCGAAGCTGTCTTTCCTTTTGCATTGGTCATATGCCACGGTGAAGGAAGGGGAAGAGGCTCAGGAGGTATAAGGGAATAGGCTTGGGAGGATTTACTCTCACAGCCACTCAGCATCCCGCCCGCTTCTGGCAAGCTCTGAATTCTTTATCTTCCAATTACATTCCATTTATTTGAGCACTCCTTGTAATCACTGATCAGTCGGCATGCGACAGGATTCGAACCTGTGCCCTGAGCGGTGATCGGTGAACAGACTTAATACACAAGCGAAGGTACGAGTATGGGCTGGTTCACATAGATCACGTAGCGTTTCATCGTACCGACAGGATTTGAACCTGTGACCTGAGAGGTGAGACCTTAAGTGCAAGTCCCGTTGTTCCGCGGAGACGGCGAATCTTATGACAAGATGTACAGACACTGTTTCCCCTCTTCCCCCTCCCCCTCTCTCGCACAGCCACAAAGATGATGGTTGTTGTGAGATCATATCATATTAGATGTCACACGGTCAAGACGAAGCCTTCATGCCTGCATCGGACTCTTCTCGTGGAGATGGCGAATCATACGACAAGATGTACAGACGCGGTTACCCATCTTCCCCCTCCCCCGCCCCCTTCCTCGCGCAGCCACAAAAATGATGGCTGTTGTGGGATCATAGAAGATGTTTTTCACACAGTCAAGAAACCTTCATGCCTGCATCAGACTCTTCTTGGGGAGGGAGAGAAGGAAGTGAGGAGGGATGGAGGGAGGAATTCGATCCCCGAACTTTGAGTTCTGCTCTTAAACACAATAAGGTGCAGGTTTCACAGAGTTAGGGAGAGCGGATAGGAGAGAAGCATTATATCGTACTTGGCCAACGGTGGAGGCTCTTGAGGAAGATTATATGTCTCACCTCGCCAATGCTAGAGGAGCACCTAGAGAGGAAGGATGTGTGTGTATGCGGTTTGGCACGGCGTCCATGGTATTATAATATGAGTAGACATCGTGGCGGTCGTGGTGCTGCTGCTGCTCATGGTGTGTCCACGGGGAGGTAGTATGTCGTTTTGAGGGTTGAAGATGAGCTTGGAGGTCTGAGATGGTTTTCAGGGCCACGTCCCACCGTCCCAGGGGCCAGGTGGTGGTTTTAAATAGGGACCATTTTTAATCCCTTAAGGAGAGATCTGATTTATGCAGAGAAAATGCGGCGGAGATTGGTTTCATGCCTGCCCAAAGGTTTCACTTCTTTCATCGTGTATCTGTTTTGGAAAAGAAAATTTTATCCACCCTGTGGCTCCTCCTCCTCCTCCCCTCCTCATCCTCCTCCCTTGCCCCACTTTGTGTTTAGCGTCCCCTTATGCTTTACCTCAGGTGAGACGTATGCTGCGATTTGCATTGCCATCCCAAATCTTTTTTTTTTTTTTTTTTTTTTTTTTTGTGTGTGTGTGTGTGTGTTTTTCTGAGAAACCAATTCTTCCTTTTGTGTTTCTTTGATAAACCTTTTTCTTTTTTTTTCTTTTTATATTATATATTAACAATTGCAAAAGGAGGCCGGGAATCCCTTCACATCACAACCCGGTGTACTGGGGTCATTCATTACCCAGCTTTGGCTTGGCTGGAAACTAACTGGGTCATCCATATCCCCTTGTGAGTAATTCCAAAAAAGAAAAACTGAATTTAAGAAAGCAACCAATTCTTTTGTGTTTCTCTGTGAAACGAATGCATTTGTGTTTCTCTCGCGTTCGGTCTGGTTGCTTTCTGAAACAGAAAACGATGCACTAGGCAGGAGGGATGTCATGTTCTCTTTCTTTTTATTCCCCCTCCTCAAGGTTTCAGGGTTGAGGCTTCAGGCCCTTCAGGGTCATCATGCCTGCCTACGTTCTTCACCCGAATACAATGTACGGTCATTATGGCTGTATTTAGACGGCAAGATAGCCCAAATACATCTATAATGACGGTACGTTGTATTCGGGTGAAGACTGTAGCACATCGTCTTCTGTTTCACGGCTTCGGAGTTCTGTAAGTGGTTATTGAGTCGGTCAGGACATGCGTTGGAAATTGAAATGGGTACGATACAGAGAATGAAGATTAGCATGGCCACTGTGCAAGGATGATGACACATAAAAATAATAATAATAATAATAATAATAATAATTAAAAAAGAAAAAAAAGAAAAAAAAAAGCTTTGTTTAACTTGTAATTAACCCAGTCTGGTAGATACTCAGAAGTCGTCAAACAGCAGTAGTCGTAGTATCTGCAAGAAAGTCTCCAAATCATGAAATGATATCACAAACAGTATCTCATTACCATTAGACGAAGAGAGTGGAGGGGGATCAGGCAGAGGAGAAGGTGGAAGAGATGATAAAAGATCACACAAGAGTAATCCCGTCAAACCCCTCTCCTTCTCCGGGCTTCTTCCCTCTACACGTCAACAACCAGTAGATGATAACAAGTATGGTAGTCCTGATCACATACAGCAGTGCCACGTGGCACTCTTATCTCGTGGAGACCATGAAGACACAGCAGATTTCAGTGACGACATCAACCTCAGGAGAGTATCCGACCTCCCTCATCCACAGATCCCGATCTTTCTCAGTAACATACATGATGGTAGAGGCCACTCGCCAGAGAGAGCTTGTGAAAGTAAGTAGACAATGGATCAGTGAGCAACTGTAATCGCCATCATCTTGGTCTGAGGGGCGATTACGTATGGGACTCACTCTTTCTTTTCTCTTCTTTTCTTCGAGCCTGAATCGGACTAAGATAGAGTCCTTTTAAATCTGTCAAAGGCTCCTCCTCGCAACCAGTCACCTCATGTAGACATTGTGGACCATGCCACGTCAGCAGTCGAGACAGGTGGCATATGCCACATGATCAATGAAGAACAGTGGCACGTGCCACGTCAGCAATGTAGACTAGTAGCAGCGTCACATCATCATGCAATGTAGACCAGAGGCGGCGCCACATCAGCATGCAATGTAGACCAGAGGTAGCGCCACATCAGCATGCAATAACTGTCTTGACGCCAGCTTTGGCTGGATTTAGGCTTGCCAGAGTTCAGATGCAAGAGGCGAATAACGGGAGTTGAACCCGTGTTTTCAAATTCACAATCTGACACTTTGACCTATTAAGTTATATTCGCCGTGGTCCCGACTCGCTCGAACCGACGAAGTGTTTTAGTCTGTCGTGTTTACCATTTTCACCAAGCGAGTATGCTCACTATCGGACTTGAATAGACCAGAGGTAGCACCACATGAGCATGCAATGTAGACCAGAGGTAGTGCCACATCAGCATGCCTGGCGCACAGAACAAGAAGCGCCAGCCTGCCGCCTCCACCTCATGCTGTCATCCGCAACACCTATGCGCAGCCAGCGTCGCGCCAGCATAGTGCCAGCGTCTTGTCAAAGTCAAGCCAGCGTCGAAGCAGCATGGCAAGGCTGAATGGTGACCACCTCGAGGCCAGTCTTTAAGTAGCATTTGACGAGGCTCTCTGGCCTCTGGTCTCCTCCCCTCCGTCGTCCAGATTGATTCACAGCCCAAGTGCACAGTTGCAGAGTTTCCCCTTGGACCTAATGCTGTCTGGGTACCTGCATATACAAACAAACGTGTGTGTCAGACCGACGGCCTGGGCTGGGTACACTTTGACTTTGACTGTTGGGGTTTCCGACAGTTGACTTTTGTCAACTCTACCTCGTCCGGGCCCTGAATCTTTTGCTGGGGTCTTTTCCCCCGTTTTGGCCTGGGCCGGGGTGTGGCCTGCCGAGGCCCTCAGTTTCCACGAGGCTTTACTACTGCATGGGTTATTGCAAACTAGTTCTGAGTCTTCTGACTAATGTTTCCTCATTTTTTAATTGGGAATTCTGCAGTCATTGTAGGACTTCCAGGAAAAAAAAAAAAAAAAAAAAAAAAGGGAGTCCTCAGAGTTTGATTAGAGTTGTACCGGACAAGATTCAGATTTTCAGACACAGCAATCCTATTTTCTGTCTCAGGGCGTATTCTCAGACGCTAGAACGTGTGGTCGTTATAGAACGCCCGGTCATTATAGCCGTGTGTAGGGCAGTACTTGGTCTACAGACAGCTCTAGCGTCTTCACCCGAATAGAACGCCTGGTCATTATAGCCGTATCTGGACTGAAAATTAATGCCCGGGCGTTTGGGTGAAGACGGTAGTCTGATAGAGAGACCGTGTACGACGTACGTTCTATTGGGGGGAAGAAGAGAGTTGTGGTTTGCCCTCTGAATGTGGAAGAGGGGTATTGCGGGAATTTGTGGCGAAGTATATTATAAGGCCACAGAGAGAGAGTAGTGATGTGGACGTGCAGTTCCTTTTTTTTTTTTTTTTTTTTTTTTGTAAACCTAAACAGGCCTGCAATGGACCCAAATCGTGAAGACACTTGTCAACAATGCAAGCCCAGATAGATATCAACCTGCTGATGATTGTCAATAATTATAATCGTGTCCAGATACAAATGAGATGGAAGAAACATATACACAGACGAAGAAGAGAGGAGGGAGACTAGACTTAGAAGAGAGAAATACAGACAATGCCACACTTCTGCTTCAGGCTCCCTCCTCGATCGCCACCTCAATAGTCAATAATCTGAACGCGCATCTGAAGTTTTATCACATCGTGCCACATGGCACGTTAATCAGTCCTCATCAGCGAGCTGGAGCAATGTCGACGTCAAGATAACCAGGTACGCATGCACTATCGCCCCACAGTCATGATCTCCTCCCGAATGTCGTCGAAACAGAACAACAATGCCAGTCACGTAGACTCGCCACGTCAATATACGTGGCAGCGGCCACATCACATCAGCGGCGGCGCATGGCAGCTGCCACGTCAGCATGCCCAGAAGACAATTGCAAGCCAGCCACCATGCCAAGCCAGCATAGCGTCGCCGTAGTACGCCCGTTTGCCAGCGTAGAGCCAGCGTCCAGCTAGCGTCACAGCGTCGCGCTAGTGTCGTAGTCAACACGTGAGGTCAGCATTGACGCAAGACAATGTTCCTCCAAGCCAAGAGGTCAACGCTTTTGTAGCCTTGACCGTGGGGTTTGGACCCCAGGTGCTGCCTCCCTCGGCCGTTGAGATCTCAATGCAGATGACGGCCCAGATTTGTCCGAAACAGACTTACCTGTGGCCTTGATGCTGTCTAGGTACCTGCGCACAACAAGTGAGTGTATCTGACCAAGGGCCTGGGTTCGGTACCTTTAACCTGACAGTTGACTATGTTGACCCTTGACTTTCCAGGGGGGCCAGTGCGTGGTCGCACTGCCTGGTGCAGGTTTGGCCTGTGTCGTCTGGGTGCAGGTTTGGGGCCCCAGACTGCTGCTGAACACGGGCTACTGCAGGCCCTTCTATTCTGGGGGGGACATCAGTCCGGTTGCTTGTCACCGGCAAGCATGTATCCACCTAGGCTACCAGAGTGGCCCAGGGCCACTTACCGGGCCGGGCCAAAAAAAAAAAACAATAATAATAACTAGGCTACCAGAGTGGCCCGGGGTCACTTTCCCGACCGGGCCAAAAAAAATGAAAATAAAGAAATTATTTTAAAAGTTTAGTTTTTATTCTAAATTTGGTGAAGAATTTCGATGAGACCCTGGGGCAAAAGTT